AAGCACCGAAAGCAACAAAACACATCCAACCAACCAACCAACCGACCGACCGACCGACCGACCGACAAACAAACAAACAAAAAGCAAACAGGACGAACAACAACGAACTCAACAAGGAGACACAACCCAACTCTGAATCATTAAACAACAAGACGCCCAAGAACAAGCTGAAACAACACCAGATGTGATTGACATTCTCCGGACTCCTTTGTGTTGATTTTCTGGAACGGATAAACACTATCCGAATCCACAACTGGAAGGCATCGCCCCGCCTCTGTCCGCGCAACTGGTTCCGGAGAGGACACGAAAACAAAAGGACACATTCCTTCTGATGCATCTAGCTTCTGAGGGTTCCGGAAGCACGTTGTCGGCCTGAAAGCCTTTAGGAATCCTTGATCCCTTCGAACACAGCAACAAGATACGCACTGCTTCTTTCCAAAAGGTGACGTTCAAACCAAAGGGCAGCTGACCAAAGTTTACTCGCCGAGACTCAAAATCTGGGATACTGGCCAACATGAAGAGACTTAAGACTTACCAATTAAATAACAAGTGTATGTAACATTTGGGATTCTGACAAACATGAAGAGACCTACCAATTGAATAACAAACGTAACATTTGCGACATTTCAACATGCGAGTCATATAGGGTGCCCTTAAGAAGACAGACCCAACCCTACTTCCACAGACAGGACGAAACCCAGTGGTGCCCCCGCGCCTGCGCTCTCTTGAACGCCGAAAGGCCCGAAAGGCTCCGCAGGCGTGTGTACTGGCCCTGCAAGCGCGGTGAATGGATCGGGGGAGCGGGGGGTTTGAGGGCCTCAGGGGTTTGGTCAGGGAAACACAATGTTTGGGACGCAATCTCCCCCACTCTTCGGGGGTCCCCGAATTTTGACACCCTCAAAAGGAGGCAATGGTATGGAGAAACGGTTAGACCCAAGTTGGGCGGGTTCAAAGACCGAAACCGTGCGACTGACACCCTCAAAAGGGGCCGTGGAATCTTTGAGGCATTGGAATTTCCGACCTTGCGTGTGGGAGGCGGTGCATCTAACACCCAGTCCTTCTCTAAGCATACAGGGCACGTGCCCATGCGATGCCTTCCCATTCTCAGGGATTTTTGTTGAATGGGTCGCTGGCCCCCGGGAAAATGTGCCTGTTTTCTACAGGGTTTCCGAACCATTTCCCTTTTTGGGACCTCCAAAATGGGCAGTTTCAATGGACACCACCAGAAAAAAAAAGACATGACAGGAAACCCTGGAAGTCAAGGGAATGGAGAATGAACCCTTAGATGCAGAAACCAGTGGGCTGTGTTTTGGCAACTCACCACGAATCTCGGTGGGGTATGAAGCAAAGCCCAGAAAGGCCGGCCGTCAGGGCCCTTTCCCAGCTGTTGAAGCGGTGAAAAGACACCCGCACCGTTTCAACCCCAAGGTTTAATTAATCCGCGCCGTTTAAACACCCAAACAAACAGAGAATCTCCGCCAAAAGCTCCATCCGGCCCGATGCCGGCCGGCCATTGATGCAACCCTTTCAACCTTGGGGTAACGAAGGTCAGCCTTCACATTGCAGCACCATGAATGGTCGTGCTCAGACAAGCACCTCCAGAACTGTGGTTTACACGGTTTAAACGAATCGGCCCGACTGCACAAACATGTTTAAACCTGAAACGTGTT